CGTCCTTTGTTGCATCTGCTGCATATTCAAACCACATGTAGAACACTAAGAAAGGGAAAAAGTCCATTTCGCATGAGAATAACAGTTCAAACGATCGCATAGCTACTCTATAGGTCACAAAGACCTCTTTTTAAATGAAACAAAAAGAAGGCATCACCTCCAACAGCCCAAAAAGCAGGCACACCCTACACATACAAAACCCCAACACTCCAGTGTGTAACAGAATCAGAGACTAACAGTTGGTTCACTACTGGGGATGAAACCAAGGACACCGAAAAATAGGACCACAGTGTGGATTCCAGACCTTGGTAGCGTCGGGGCGAAAGTTAGGACATTACTCGGCTCAACGACGATCATTCAGACAGACAACTAGTAACTCTCCACACCCGGATCTCGGGTACGAGGTAACTTTTCGCATAAGAATTACTAGTATTTCTCCGCCCTGCTAGGCACATGAAAGGCCCGGTTCACTATTTAACTTTCCCCAATCGCCCATCGTCTCAGCGCATCGTATTCCCCGTCTCAGTCCTCTGTCTATCAAACCAGATCGCAAAAATGAAGTTCGTCTGGTTGCTCGCTGCCCTTTCTGCTACGGTGCTGGCTGCACCGGAAAAGCGCAACGACGCTGCTCCCACGGCGACTGATAACGTCAATTGGTCTTCGCTTGGCCAAGCCCTGTATGTCTTGCAGTTTGGTGGTGTCTACGAGAGATGGTGTACTGACAAAAGATAGGAAATCGATTTCGTTTACGATGCCGACAGGGTCTGCCAACCTGGATAACATTTCTCCGCCTCCACGCTCCCTTATCCCGGAGATCGTGAAGAATGTGCCCCCCTCGGCGCTGGCTCAGTTGGTGGTTCCTGCTCAGCGCAGCTCCCTCGCCAGCGAGATCCAGGCCGGGCACACCCCCTCCTGGTACAATGCGCTCCCCAGTGACATCAAGAGCTACATGGCCCAGGTAAAGAAGGAAATGTCCGACGGGGCGTTGACAGCTACGACGGGCAAGTACGCCCCTGCAAAGGCTACGGCCGAGAGCACGAAGGACGGTGGCGCATCGTCCACCACATCGTCAGGAATGGGCGCAGCAAGAGCGCAGCCGACGGGCGGGTTGGTGCTGGGTGGAATGGGGGCCCTGGGGGTGCTCGGTGTAGCATTGGCGCTGTGATCGACATGAACTTATGACCGAAGTGAGATGATAAGCTATGGAAATGACGAATGTTTTGGGTCTCTACACAGTAGTTCAATTGCAACCCTGGCGGTGGCGTTTGTGGTCCCTGTACCTAGTGTCGTATTAGATTAATTGACCCCAGTGGAATACGACAGACTGGCTGCAAGCACAGACCGAACAAGCTTCGGGTGGGGGTACGGAGTGGGCACATTAATCTGTTCGGCTGGTGTACCTGATACTTAGTACTAGGAGGCTATACGCCGAGTAGTAATGATCATATGAAAGCGGATATCGACGCCGAACGGGCCTGTTTGATCGGGTACCACTACCCCATACTATTTGATTTGGGGGGTCTGCTAAAATTAGCTGGGGTTGTAGGTTTCGATTGGACTCCACCGTTGACACAAATCGATATATCGAATCTCAATGCAACGGTGGTTGAGGGCATTCACCACCAAGATTGAGGATCGATCAGGGTTCAGGGTTGGATCAAAGCATCACATGTACCTCTCGGCCCGAGGGCGAAAGAGGAAAGCGTCGCGATGCTGTATAAATTGTCGGCTCTGATTGGGCGGATTGAGGGGTATTCCCCGAAGTGATCGACAGTTGCAGCAGTTAGCGAAGCCCTAAACCCATGCGGGGTCGTCTGGAGTCTCCAGCTCTTGGCCGACCCCGAATGACTCTATCGTCAAATCCTGGCGAAGATTAATTCGGATACTGATTTGGTAGCGAAGGAGGGGTATAGCAGCCATTGACTCATATCGCCCGATGCAGAGGCAAATTCACATGGACGGTGTTTTCGTGCCGTAGGAGTTGGGATCATCCCAACGGGTATAACCTACTTGAGCCTCGGGTCGAACCAGAAAGTGGGCATCCACGCGAAACGATGAACAAAGTAAAAGGCAATCGACGATCTCAAAGTCCAGACCGAGATTGGAGAACAACTAACACCTGTCGAATCAAAGACTCGATCCAGCCGTGTGTTGCATTTGCCATCCAGGCATGGACACACTTTTAGGTCGCATATCCTCCCGGTCTTGACTTTATTATGGGTCAACAGCTGGAAATTTGGGACATGGTAGATTAAGGTGCAGGCGGGGTTGCCTTTGTTTCGTATTCATAGAAACAAAAAGCAAGTTTCCTGGGCTCCATAGCTACATATAAGTTTGCACCACCGCAGTAGTCGGTGATCTTTTCCACAGATCAACATCTCTCTTCCAGATCTCATACACTCCAGAAGTCATTCGTTCAGACCCTGAATATCATTCTACAAGCACAAAATGCGTTTTTTCAAGTACATTGTTTTCGCGGCCCCCCTCGCCCTGGCTACTCCCAGGCCGAACCCGGTAGCAGCCCCTATGCCAGATGGTGGTCTGCTCTCGGAGCTGCCTGCGATCCTCGACGGGGTCAAAGAACTCTTGAGCACAGAGACGATCAATGACCTTCAAACTATCGTCAAGGGCGGCGCCGTCCTTCTGGGCGGAGACACTCCCAAGAACCTGCAGAAACTTCTGTCCAGCGGCAACATCGATAAACTGCAGGCTATCGTTGACAATGCCGATAATCTTTTGACTCCTAAGTTCGTCAACGAGACTACAGTTCTGATTGACGCTGCGTCACCGGTAAGCTATTCGCCAACCCCATGACTATGAGTGAATATTAATGATTTTCAGCTCGTGGATAATATCTCGAAGCTGTTGGCTGGACTCCTCGGATCCTTGATTTAACGATATTACGAAATCAGCGCTTTGATGCCTAGACGGTTATCAAGGGCTTTCTGTTCTCATGCAAGTGGCGTCTGACATGCCTAGATGGATGCCTGGACCACTGTTCTTATTCCTTTTATCTTGTTCATATAGCGGTCTAGATACATGAAATGGTCCCTTTCCTTTTCTTCCTCGGCTTCCTTTCTTTGTTCGTAAAAAGATAAGAATAAAAATAAAAATAGCCTAGGCCTAGTTTCGTATCCCTGTAATGTGCCGCGGATAGTCCATTCCGGACTTATCTCTCAAATTAAATCGACAGGGATTTCAACAGCAAAACAAGACTTTTAGCGCATTATTAATCCGGACGTTAGTTAACTATATTAACTAGATCCTAACCACGTGCATGGCAGAGATTTTCATCCTAGTTTGTCTCTTTAATCTCATTCAGATAATTCCACGAGCTCGCTGGGATGACATGGGTGCACGCCCTACGCCAAAAGATAAGACAGAAAGTACCAATTATCTACACGACATTCATATGCTTTCGTAATTCTTGCAAATAATAGCGCAGTGGATATCCTCGTGTAGACGTCGGTAGTGCAGGGTACACAGCCACCGAGAATCCCATGGTGGTCCGATACAGGCCCCGAGTACTAAATGTCGACTTAAGCCCGTAAGCCTCTCTAATGCGCGGTGGCAACATCTCAATCGTAAGGACCCGCAAAAACGGTTTCATAAACGAGACCCAGCGGGGATAATCGTTGCGGTGGAGAAGGTCCTGGGCAAACTTGTGTGCGTCTGCGGTGACGGTCAACTGCTCGATCTGGTCGTCCCAGTACTTCCAGAATGCCTGTCGGTTCTCCGGCCAAGTACCCGAGGGTAGGCCCATGGCGTGGATAAGGACTGTAAACTCTGCGTAAGCCTTCTCGGCCGTGGTGTAGTTGACGAGGCCGTAGACACGCTGGTAGAAATCGGTGGCGGTCGCGTAGAGCGTCGCTGCGACCCAGAGCTGGGTCGGCCGGTGGGAGGAGAAGCTTTCACTCCCGCGAAGAGGCGGTTGGCCTTGGTTGATGAGGTCCAACAGGGTCTTCTTTTCTTCTCGCGTGCCGAACACCAGGCAGGCGATGTAGCTGAGATTCGCCTGGAGGGCGTCACTTAGCTCTGTCGCCAGGTTACTGCTGTGGCCATTGCTGGCATTATGGGTATCACTAGTTCGATTTCGGATTCCGGGGAAAGCGGCCTGGAGTAGCAGAGCGGATCCTGATCCAGCAAATAAAATGCCTTCTTGCAGGATCTGGGGGAGAATTTCCAGTTGATCGAGGGCCTCGAGACGACTCGAATCAGACGCGACCGACGGTGTCTGGGAAATCTGGTCTGGGGATTTCTTCTCATCGAACGACATGATGGCTGTACGTTTGATGGAGAGTAAAGGGGGAGGTGTGGCTTTTTCTTGTCGACGATCGTGGGATTTGTACGGGCTATCGCGGGTGTTTGGGCGATGGATGACTTAGGGTTACAGGATCACCGACGACTCCTTGACCACCACACACATGCGTCTGAAGTGCGACTACCTCGCCTCCACCGGCTGGTCATACATCACCTTGTCTATCTTTGCATTTTATCGTCAACCAGGCCCCAGTGACGTTCTTGTTTTACTCAATTTCCCCGCATCTTAAAGGGGCAATACCTCCGTACCAAGGTTTAACGCGTCTGGAGCCGGTGGATCCACCACCTGTCCCGAAGCTTAGGGACCCTGCTAACAACCGCGGTTTCTCAATAGTTCGTGCCGATCCTCATCCAACTTCCGCATGTGAACTCGTGTGTCTAAAATGAGGTGGTCGTCATTGGCCCCAACGCGCCGCTCACTGCGATCGACAGCGTCGCATGGTCGATCCATGCGGAGAGACAATACTGTGTACCAAGGTCAAAATCGGGTTCACTCCGGAATCTACCCCTTGGCGTTCGAACCCCGGAGGCGAAAAATATTAGGACAACACCTCGGAACGTTAATCTACTCCGTGTCCATATATTAAATCATACACACGCCTCGACCCTTATATTTTCACCCCCCCGACAAGTTCGACGTGTCCACCCTTGCTCCCCGTGGACAGCAACTGGGCATAGCCATGGAAGAGAAGCAACACTACCTCGGCTCCAAAGCTGCCAAATACGCCCTGGGCGTCCATCGTGGGCCTCTCCCCCAAGACGATGGCGACGGCTGCACAATCGAGCATGTCGAGACGGCAAACACCATCTCGTTGGAGAAAAGGGAGAAGACAAGAGCCGAGCGAGCACGTCGCCATTGGGCCCGATTTTGGTGTTGCTACATTTTTGGAGCATTATCTTCCTGGCCGTGTTCTTGCCCATATTGTAGGTGCTCCACTTTCGTCCAACTACGTTTCAGATTGACTAATTTTTGCAGCTTCGTTGTCATTATCCCCGCTATTGCCCAAAGAGTGGTCGACAATTCGTCGCTCGTCGTCACAGAGACGAGCGTCATGCAGCCGCGGCCGGATTCGATCATGCTTAGCTTGAAGACCGCTCTGAAGCTGCCCATCGGCGTTCCTGTGCGCATCGACCCCATAGCGATCAGTCTCTTCAACCGTAAGACAAAGGGCAACGGGACCTGGGCCAAGGTCTACCTCGACGGCGCTACGATCTCGGGGAATACCACCCTGGCAGTCAAAGATCAATTCACCCCGTTGAATGTAGAGCAATGGAAAGAATACGTCCACAGCGTGGTCTTCGAGAAAAACGCCCCGCTATCGCTCAACGGCAAAACCACCGCATATCTCGGCAAGCTGAAGAATCACATCACCATGGATAAGGACGTGAAGCAAAACAGTATGTTCACGATGGCCCATACTCGACGAATAAACTAACCAACGTTTCAGCCCTGGATTCGTTCGCTGGCTTCGCTATCGCAGACCCTCAGCTCCTTCTTCCTCCGAGGGAGGATGGGACCAACCTAATTGCCAACGCCACCTTGCCCAACCCTTCGGTCATGACCTTGGAAATCGTACGTTACATCCACGGAAAATCAACAGAGATTTACTAACTGAAATAGGGGACAACAGTCCTCGATCTCAAAAGTGGAGACCTCGTCATCGGCAACGCAACCATCGACAACCTTGTCCTCAAACCAGGCAACCACTCTTCCCCCGTCCACGGCATCATGGACCTCAAGGTCTTACTCAAGAACCTCGTACCGATCCTGCAGACCCAGGCCAGCTCCATCAAGAACGGCTACCTCACTCTCGACACCGTCGGAAAATCCGTCGTCTACGACGCGTCGAGGTCCCCTACTACACCGAAGTAATGAGAAACCTAACCATGACGGCGCAAGTGCCTCTCGCTGGCCTGATCACGAACACGCTACGCGGCCTGCTCCACGACGGCAGCGGAAACAACATTTTCTCCAATCTCACCAATAACTCGGACTCTAGTGGCGGTGGCGGCGGTTTGCTCGGTCTCCTCGGGGGTTCCGACAAGAGCCTGAGTAATCTGTTGACCGGTCGCGCTGTGGATGAGATCTTGAATAATCCCGAGAAGCGCTCATCTATTATTAATGTCTTAGAGGGGTTCCTATAGACGATGATTTTCATGACGCACCCGGTCGTCCTTAATGTATATGGACGTAGCTGCGATACTGAGTGGCGTTTTGGTTTTAGATATGACTTGATTTATGATGATAACCCTATTGCGATGTGCTTAGCTTAGTTAATGATATCCTGATTACGATGGTTTAAATGTCCCATATACCCATTACATAACTTATACTCAATACTATTAATCAGTTGGTCTAATTAGAATCAATCACGAAAATTCTTCTCCAGCAGTAAACTTGCGTATATCCACAGTCCTACACAGATTCTTCCATCGTGGTTTCCGGGCTTTCCGGTGCGTACCTCCCGGTCAATATATTAGGTGCTATCTCCGTTCCTAGAACAGTAATACTAGAAGTATCACAAGCTATTGGAACCCACGTTACATCGTCTTCACTGGGAACTAGATTCTAAAAATACATCGTCCGGCTTGTCACCCACAACGGACTACCCGCCAACCTTCTACCAAACCTGCCAATTTGCTTACTTGAAATACAATTCGAAGCGATGAAGATGGCCCAACACAAAGTGCAACAGTGGCATCAGCAACGTTCTTGACTTACAAGTTTAAGAAAAGCCCCATGCACTCCCTAACTAATGCAACACCTCGTGCCATTTCCCACACAAAAATGCTTGGGTTATTGCTTAATCGGTGGAGATTTTCATTGGGAACGTTTGAAGTGGGGCTCTTTGACCAACGAAAAATGCACACCCACCTGTCTGTGGATTGAGTACCAAAAAAAGCCCTAAGCGCCCCTTTCTTGCGGGGCCAACTAGGTAAGCAACTCTGGTGATCTTAGGTAGTACGTATCCGTTTGCTTAACGGTTCCATAAGGGGGGCTGGGTTTTACGAAATTTTGGTATCCACTGGTCGGTGGAGGCTTTGGGCGCTGAGTTCAACGGCGACCGTTTGAGAATTAGTTTGGCTGGTTGCTTTGAGATCTTCCCTTACCCTGTTCCTTGGTGTGCTTCAGATCTTAGTGGAGTATTGGCATGGCATGATCCCAATAGTTGTGGAGGATACTAGGCGGTAGCGTGGTACGATTTAGCGCATAGATTGCTCGACGTGCAGTTCTTATGTCACTTAGAAAACATGCAGGTGTTGTCAGAGATGAACCCCAGGATCACATCGTTTCCAGAAATAAAACAAGAGAAAAGAGTCATTAGCTCATCATCATGCACAATATGTGAATTGTACTGCTGGCCTTTATATCTCCATAGCATGTACCAGCTCTTAGGTGGTCTTATTGGATATTTCCCTCGATATGGCAACTCTGTTGTGACATCAAGCTCGTCAATATGGTTGCCCCCTTTTTGCTACAAAAGATACAACGCGCGTGGCTGTACGTTCTCTGTAATTCAATTGCAGTTTATTCTATGGGTTCATTCCTCGTAACCAATAATAAGAATTCCGTTATGATCTGTTACTGAGCGATGCCAGTCCTTATGAGTCAATATATATAGAGTTTCCACAGATTTAAGAGATTATTTAATTTGAATGAGAATCCAAAAGTATGCCCATATCAAGCTACCCTACAGAAACGACAGTGTTGCAAGATGTATATTGGTAATGGCTGTTGCAGTGTCTAGGTGCTGCCAGAGCATACCACAGTCTCGAATATCCCCTGGCTCTGTATAATTCAAGACTTCTGCAACACCGGCACGAGATGAGAGAAAATAAACCAGCTGCTCATAGCACCCTAGCCAATGAAAGCGATTATTTACACTATGGCTGCGGTGGTTTGCTGTATGGAAAATTACGTTGCCCATCCAATAGCCCGCTGAGACTCGACGAGGGATAATGTTTCCGTCTCGTCCAGCGGCCACTCAGATAAGTCTTGGATGTACTGGCACCTCACGATGTTTGTTTACGTTCACGTTGGGAAAGACACCTGGGTGTTTGTATGAAGCATTCTTACTGTTAAGTTCAGCAAAGGTAAGATCTATATAATCAGCATCATCTGTAGTACTCCTGTCTTTTGAGCTATTTCTTAGTATTTCGAATGAGTCCCAAAGAGATTCTTTGCATGGCTGATTTGACCCGTTCAAATGGAATCAGCCTATCTTATCTAGATACACTTTTGTTCTTTTCTTTTTTTTAGAGGCTTATTGAAGTAAACCATCTCACGGTGAACCAACGACTTGTGTAACTCAAGCTGGGGTTTAGTTCTCGGCAGCTTAACTAGGTGCATATAAACCCAGAACATCCCGATTAATACAAGATGCCAAGATCGATCGCTCCACATAGATCTAAGAGACTGCAGTAGCTGCATGCCAATCAGAAATGATTTGGACGTGGGGTAGACATGCTGTTGGGCCTTAGCGGTGTTCGGTGGCGAGCTGAACCCAGATCTACAAATACAAGGACTTGCCCCGCCGGAGATGGACATACGGAATGATGGTATGCTATGAATACAGTATTCTTTCTTTCTTTTTGTCTTTTTATGCTAAGTGTCCAAAGATGAGAGTTGAACTACGCCCAACTCATAGCAAACACTCCTTGTGGACATCCTGATCAAGCAGCGCCTGCCGTATAGTGGGAGTAGAGACAGTCGGTGAGGCTGTCTACTAGTACTACTAGTATTGGCACACATATAGCCAATCAACAATACAGAAAGAGCACGCGATCGACATGGACCACGCAACTGCCAGATGACCCCTCCGAACAGTGGCTGACTCACCTCAAGGTATAAATAAGTCGTGGGTTCCTTGCCTTGGCTACTTGGACACTTTCCCCTATGGTCGTGCTCGAAGATTATAACTCTAAATACACACACAATGAGCGACAGACCATTTAACGAAACTGCCCGAAACCTCCAACTTGACGAATTTGTCAATGAGGATGATCCTTGTATCCTACGTGGCGAGCTCCAAAATGACGACGGCGAATGGATCCCGGCAGAAATCAATCTGAATGAAGTCTTTTCAGCTTATGATAGTTCCGGTACTGCGATCTTCCTGAAATATCTATTCCCTTCTTTTCTGACTGTAGCAAACAGCCCGGCTTGAGTGGGGCGGGAAAGACTTCTCTCTAATCGCTGTTCAGGTCATTTTGAATCTGCGCGTGATTCCGATAGATGGTAAACTAGAGGAAAGGCCCATGCTGGACGTGATATTAGAGGATGAGCAGCAAGGAGAGGTCGAGGCGTGCGTAGACTTGAGCGAGGGAATCATAAACAATAATGGTCAATTTGAGTACCAGTTGGACAGGGTATCTGAGAGAGAAGTGAGGGCTTGGTGAGCTCTTCTGTATCTTCATTGGATTACCTGAATCGTTGAATGAGCTCATTACAATGTTTCTGGCTGGGAGGAAGATATGAGGGATAACACTGAAAACGTATGGTTGGTTCAACCGCGATATGTCCAAGTGCACTTAACGTAAGACCATTTCTATGTAGTAGATGCATATAGGATGCCCTATGAGCCCTAGGCCTGCCATTGCAATATAACCTTGTCTCAGTATCACCTGAATATCACTAGCAATCGGACTCCTCTTCGTCCTTTTCATCATCCATAAGGTCCCAATCCATTTCCTCAAACTGCTCATCGCGAAGACGTTCTTGGATAGAGGGAGTGGTGTTGCCTAGGGCAATTGCAACCCGCTATATTGTATATTGGTACAAATCAATCAACTGAAACCAGTGGCTGAGTTGAGATGTACGCGCACATACTTTGGGTTTATCTCAAGCTCCATACAGACAAGGTCTTGCTTCATATCCCAGCTGTCTTCTGTTCGCGTATACCCAGTTTGCATTGATGCTTTCACCTCGTCATGTTGTCTCGCCTCCGCATACATGCATATTGGTTTAATTATTTGTTGGTGTTTTTCAATCCAGTATTCTCTTTTGGCAGCAGACTTTATAAGTTAATACAGAGAGGTGGGACCGAGGGTGCGAGCTTGGCACTTGCTAACTCCTCTTTCCTGATCAGTCATTTTCTACTCACTATCCATGTAATATACTATGTTTGCTCGAGTCCCGAGCAACGGCATGAGTTCTTTAGATCTCTGCAAGGAACTGGGATTTCGTGTTATTGGATGTGTACAGTTTCATCTGCGGATCCACTAGAGCTTGCATCGCTCGGTGAACTCCCTAAAGGATGTTCCACTCCGATGACAATATAGCCCCAACTGGCCAGCACCTCCTGAAACACCGTGTACAGGCCCGCTGGTGATCCCAGACCCGGCGAGAAAACGATCACCGGGAGAGACCTGTGGGGAGAAAGGAACGGGCACACTACATCAGCATCTTTGAACGAGTTAGTTCGTACCCAATCAAAGGCGCCTTCCGGCAGTGTATAGGTTTGCTCGAGTTGTCGTGCTGTTTTTGATGGGATATACAAGGCTCGTGTTACTGTATTCGCGTGCAAGGTGGGATACCGAAAATGTAGTATGACATGCTCAGGGATTTCTTTATCTGCCTCATCGTCGACTTCTATTCTTGCAGAACCGACTGCAAATGGTCCCGGGGGGGTTGGCAAGGTCAGAGACATATTGGCAACCTCAGTGGAGGCAGGAGGGAGAGGGAGTAGCAGAGCTAGAAGACCGGGCCACCAGAGAATAGATTGGATTCTCGAAGCTAGGAGCCGCATTCCTGACTCGACTTAAATGAATTCTGTGTGTGTTTAGGAGTTGAAGCGGCAAGGGAGTAGGAATCGTGCACGGTCTGTAGTGAGCCCGGTGCTATTTGAACTCCATAGCCCCTGGGGAGCAATGATAAATCGAGAAGAACAAGCATCTCCCAGGGGCCCGCAAAAAAGGGTGGCGTTTGTACAACATTCCGATCCTGGAAGCAAGGGATGTGACCGCTTTCACAGATTCTCTATACAGAGAGGACCAGTATTTCAATAATTCACGTTCACGGGCCACTCTATCCCGCGTCGCTGCAGTCTTCCAGGGATAGTTTTCTTTCTCTCTCTCATAAAAGAGAATTCCCTCCTTCCACCCTGTTTGTTTGATGGAGATGAATTGACTTACTAAGTAACAAAAATGGTGGTAGTTATGGAAAGTGGTTAAAATAGCCACTGAGCCGATGCCTGCTTGTCGTTTTAGGACTAGTGCGAGGCTCATGACTGAAGCGCTGGCTAGACCCGCGTCTCGGGTCATCCATCTCTAATTCCTCACTGGCTTGCTTCATTTTCGTGGCCTCGACATTGACATTTCTGGTACTTGGGATATGTAGAACTGTGGACTGCTTCTCAAATTATCCTAAACGATCATCGAAACCCCAGCTGAAGCACCAAAGCAAGCACCCTCGGAGTTGAGGTACGCCGGCGCAAAAAAAAGGAGATACATACCAGGGACTTGTGACAGGAAATTTTATACCTTATGATCAAATCGACACTAAAGCATATTCTGTATTGATAGCTCCGACGCAAAGGTTTCGAGGACATGCGGGACTCCTTCGCATACTACCCCACTGTCGGCTGGATAGCCAGGGTCAAGTCGCGGACAGGGTGCTGGATCTGCAAGTATCGCGGTACCCCGTCCTTTTATGAACGCATATTAAATACCGCTGATGGCTGATGGTTTTTTGATTGGTCCCATGGCAGGATCCGCAAAGTCAAGTGTGATGAAGCGAAACCGTACTGTAGACGTTGCCAGAGCACCGGTCGGAAATGCTTATACAAACTAGACGGGGGAAGTGAGCGCGTCGCAGAATCACCGATGCCGTCAATAAGGCACACGCAGCCATCTTCAGACCTGATCACTCATGCGTTGCGTGAGAGAAGGGCCTTTGCGTATTACTGCCATCAGGCGGGACCGGCGATAGCGGGCGGCTTTGGCAACCAGTTCTGGATGAGTGTCGTCCTCAAGGCCTGCCGATCGGAGCCAGCGGTTTGGGACGGGATTATTACCATCGGGTTGCTGTATGAAAATCTAGATCCATTTCTCGGACCTCCCATGGTCGTCGAAGCCTGGCCATCCGTTAACATACCCAAGGAAGCCTTGGCCTGGTACTCGCGCTCGGTAGAAAACACTCGATCCAGAATCGCACAAAACAAGGCCAATATAGATGTGGCGCTTATCACATGTGTACTATATATCTGTGCTGAGATGCTCCAGGGTGATGTGGCAAAAGCCATTCGACTATATGAGCAAGCTGTGCGGCTGATTCTAACTTGGCGGCGACAGGCTTCCATGACGTCACGAACCGTATTCATGGTAGAGGACATATTGCCGCTGCTTGTTCGTCTAGGTGCAGTTGTTCTGATAATCGCTGGATGCTCACCAGAAGGGTTGCCTCAACTTCTAGCTATATCTAGCAACAACTCCAAGTTCTCATCCCTGGAAGACGCCCAGACAGCGCTCCTGAAGCTGACCATAGAGACCTTTGGCCTCAGGGATGTGGCCCTCCGACATCAGCGTCCTTCCAACGACCGCGTTGGGACCATGTTTGATTTGACCGTACAACAGCGGTCTTTGATGTATCGACTAGGAGAGTGGGACAGTGCTTTCGCCTATCTCACAAGTGCGGAAGGACAGCCGTTTACTGACTTCCCATATCGTGGGGCAGTAGGAGTACTCCTGGCCTTTCGTGCTGTCACGTCTATCACTATTTGCACATGCCTTTCGCAGGAGGAGATAGTGTATGACAAGCATATAGATCAGTTTCGACTGATTGTCGAGCATGCAGCAGCTGCAATACATGCATCTGCGGCTCAGAATCACACGCAGCCGCAGTTTACGTTTGAACCAGATATCGGCCCGCCGTTGTTTTTCACGGCCGTGAGATGCCGAGACACAGCACTGCGATGGAAGGCGTTGACTCTACTTCGACAAGCACCAAAGGTTCAAAGCTTATTCAAGAGTATGTCGTGGGCGACACTTGCCGAAATAATCATCCGGCTCGAAGAAAATCATTCACCGAGAGTAAGAGAAGGGCCGACATCTAACCTTACATGCACTGTGATTGCAGGAAAGGAAAGTCGTAGTGACCGTTTGCCCAGGGATGAAGATGGATATCTGGATAATCCGCAGGGAACCGTATCCAGCGCAAATGAGTCGGTTGAGGCCGGCGGCCATTTTTCGGATGAATTGTCGATAAACGGAAGTCACTGCATCCCGGAAGAGTATCGTGTGCATGAATTCGGCGTGTCTCAAGCAAATGGAACCGCACCTTTTGACTTAGCCTCGCGAACGCTCAGCCCCTTTGTCCTAAGAGTCACACGCAATCAGCGTGATCCAGTTACTGGAAACTTTGAGCTGGTAGAATGCTTCCTGCCTATGAGTTACTAGCGTAATAAGTAAGCTGAAGTGTCGAATTACTTGCCGCGAACTGTATTGTATGTTTAACATGAACGGAAAAAAGAGAAAAATGACCAATATCCTTCGGAGTGCCTTATCAGCTCCATATGTGAAGTAGTCCTAGAAGCCAGGGCAGAGGCAAGGAACCGTCGTTCCAAATCAAAACATGAATCAAAGGTGCTGGATTGGTTCCAAGCGGCTCCCGCGTCATTTTTCGAACGACACAGAGCGTTAGGTCATTTCTTAACCCAATGTGTGAACAACCGAACGCAAATGACTGATACAGAGAATTTACACTAATAAATAGTGGTAGTTCCCATTCAATAATATACAAATTACACCTATTGGGAAGGAATCGAAAGTCTGCGGGCTCTCGTCGACCTGTCTCTACGCTTTACGGCATTAACCTGAAAAGTTATTGCTATTAGGCATTTGCGTATAGGGCTCAAATTCCCTAAACTGCTCGTACTTTTATCATGGTGATCTTGTCTAAACTCCGTGCAAGCCTCGATGCCCAACATACAGAACAAGAGCCTTGAACCCACAATTGACACCCTGTCCAGGGGTGAGACTGTATGACAAGTTTGAGACTATTCATCTAATAAAGAGAAGAGTTGTTACGGTCAGGACTCGCGAGTTAACGTTGCCAAATGTATGCCGTAGACCAGACATGGGCTGGGATAAGGTAGATCTTACAGTATAATGGCCCATCGTGCGTGCACCGCAACGACAGTGGCACTGAAGGCTGGATTGCAGCTAGGGGTGCGCCTGGTGTTCATCGAAGAATTGGGTTTGGTTCGTGTATTCTCTACACATGCTAGTAGGCATGATGTATAATTGCTTACTGGCATATGGTCTGCGTCGCGCCTGTTTAAGTTCAGAATGTGGTCCCAGAAAGGGCAGAAAGACATTGTGAGTTGCAGAGGCACTGGACGAGGACCATACCATTGGTGACAGAACTTGTCAAGCGCCCATGAAGGGGTAATGCTGGTCTTATCGCAATACATCTCGAAACGTCTGTCTACTAAGTTGAATACTAGGGATTAAGGCCAGATAATCATATCCTGAGTCTCAACGCATTGTCCAAAAGCTCCCTGTTACTACTTACGGCATGCTTTTCAACCACAGCGCATGGACGGATCTATACTGTATCAACGCCTTTGTTTTTATAAGGGATTTGTACTAGAATGTGGTACCGGAAAGATTCAGAATACGAAATAATCCTCGTTGAAAAGACGGAAGGAGGTCAAGGGTCTGATATGAGGTTTCTGGGATAGGGCAGTATGATCCAAAGACACATCACTGCAAACCAAAAATAGTATATTTGAAGGCTTATAGGAACTAGAGAAATAAAGGTTTATGTGATCTTAGCATTACCTGATCAGCAATCCATGAAACTATCTTGAAAATCAACTAAGGGCCCACTGCCGATCGATGAAGCGAAGGAACAACCGAAGGAATAAGTAAGGTATTAAGTTTGTATGATCAACAAGGATCAAAATGTCAAGGAGAAAGGAGATACGGTCTCTAGCCTATTGGGTAGGCTTGCCACTCTCATCATACACTGTAAATGAGATCGCATTTGGCGCGTAGAACAGTAAGATAGAACCATTGGGAGAATCATGTCTCATTATCCTGGCTAGACAGGTTTCTAGAAATTTTACGCTGAAAGAAATTGACCTTTCTTAAGACACCAACTCTACAAGTGGGGACAAATGACGGCCACCAAAGAGCATTACTGACCCAGAGGTATCGAGCCAGAGTGGATTGTAACTATAACCGGTGTTATATTGTCATAGTCAGCTAATTAACGTTATCTAGCCCGTAACTGAGAGGAGCATCAGTGCTCTGATTCGGTCCGTGCGATTGATTAATCTTGATAGAACCCTGGGCAGCCATGCATGTTCTACTGGAGCTAGCCTAGAGGCATCCCTGTACCTGGTCGAATACTGAGAATATGAGGGGTATGTTTAGGAGGCCCTCCTACAATGGAAAGTTGGGCAGATCAAATGTTACAAATCTTACACAGACCGGCGTGCGGCCACTGGTATAATTTTGACTAAGCCTCTCTCTTAAGCAAATTTTCCAGAGCTGTTCGAGAGCATAGAGCAATCCTTAGTTACGACTACCGCTACGATGGTGTTCACTACTTCTCCTACAGTGCAGTCCCTGCCCTTCCCTCCGGATAGTATTCCTATCAGTGACCTGATATTCGACGATAAATATGGACGGTGTCTCGTGGAGAAGTCTCCTAGTCCTTTTTATTTGCGGACTCACTGGCAACAGTTACTCATTCAAGGAGTATGAGCAGCGAGTCGATCTTCTATCCCGCGGCTTGTCAAAGGATATCGGCTGGCAGCCGAATCAAGGTACTGAGCTACACAAAGTCATTGCAATTTTTAGCGTCAACACGGTCAGTAGAATTCTCGAATTCCAGCTCCCAAAATTGCTTGTAGGAGGCAGGGTTCACTGCTAACCAGCTCTCATCTTAGATTGACTTTGTTGCAGTGACTCTGGCTACGCAGCGTCTTGGAAGAGCTAGTCTTCTGATCCATCCGACGAGTACGGCGACTGAGTTAGAAAGCCATCTTAAAGCCAGTGGCTGTAAGGTTATCTTCACTTGTGCTCCACTGTTACCGACTTGCCTAGAGGCTTCTAAGAAGCTAGATGTGCCTCTGTCCAGCATTTATCTGCTAGAACTTCCTGTCCCAGCGGCGGTACCCAACGTGGATCACTTCAAAACAGTCAATCAGCTCATAAAATTCGGATCTGACCAACCAATGCGGGAAAGAGCAACATGGACGGAACACCAAGGGAAGTCTCGATTAGCCTTCCTATGTTCTTCTAGCGGCACATCGGGATTCCAAGTTTGTGATATGAAAACACCCAAGCGGACAGAAACTATTATGCTTCTTAGAAACTGGTGAAAGTCTCTCACTACAATGTCGTTTCCAATATTCTCCAAACCGCAACGTTTGAACTTGGCGCAGCCAACCGGGACAAATCTTTGGGTCTTCTACCTTTTAGCCATAGCTTTGCACTAGTTACTGCCCTTATCCAAGTATATCGGGGAGATACTATTGTTATCCTCCCTAAGTTTGATATGCAGCAGATGTTGGCAGCCACAAAGCAATATCAGCTGAATCGACTGTATCTGGTATGGTGCGCTTCCGACTTGCTTAGGGCACAGTTTAATACGTGCAGGTTCCTCCGATCTTAGTTGGATTGTTGAAATATTCGACCCGACTCGGCGTCAAAGAGCTGTCAGCTCTTAAATCTCACCTCGAGTCCGTGAAGTCGGTTGTCATTGGGGCCGCCCCCTTTGACGTCGCCACCGCAAAGCAGCTTTCCGTCATCTTCCCCGATTGGGAAATATTGCAAGGCTATGGTAAGGTTTGCTACTTAATCAATTCTCTTATAGTACTCTACCTGACGCCTAAAAGGCCTCACAGAAGCATCTGTTGTAGTATCATATACCAGATCCGGTAATGTCTATCTAGGCTCCTCGGGTATGCTTCTTCCTCTCGTTCAGGCCCGTCTGATAGAGAAGACTGGAACGGAGGTCACAGCATACGGAACTCCAGGGGAGCTTGTTATTCAATCCCCTAGCATTGTCCTTGGTTAATCTACAGAAGGTTAAAAAGCTTCGGGAGGAGTATCGGGAAAAGGCTCCTAATTACATTCTTATGCAATCATATAAACGGAATACTAAAGCGCTCGATGATTTCAATCGAATTGCTCTAGCCTGGGTATGTTTGCTCGGCCAGCAAGCCAAGATCGATGCGAAGATTACAATTCTGAGTTACCGTATAAGGTTCGTATGAGTGCTCTTATATGGTGGTGTCAGGATCAACAACAAAAAACATTGGCCAAGCCTGTCATATATGGCGATTGATGTCTTATCATTTCCAGCAATGAGCGATGAACCAAAACGAGTTTTCTCAGGAGTCCGTCGTACAATCTCATGGAAAAGGACTAAACTATAAGCTAAAAACATTGAGAGGATAGAATGTTAAAAAAATAAAAAGACTAGCAGGAGATTGGGATTGCAGAGAAGAGATACTAGTTTAATTAGATTTTGTTGTCATCGAAGTCCTTAACTGTAAGGCCAAGAAACTATCGATGTCAAGCTTGCTCTGGTTGTCTATAGAAACAGCCCTTTAGACCCAATAGAACAATTGAATGGCATAGATTACAGTTTATCGCTACAAGTCTGCCTGTTACCAACTCTTTTCTGAAGCCAAAATACTCCAACCCGCATTGATGACCCACCAGATGGCATATGGACTGCAACCATAAAAGTTTGGCAAAAAAAAAAAAAAAAAAAA